AAGAGTAAATAGGAAGCACTTTCCATCACGTACAAGGGGAAAATTTCTGCTAATGCAAAACATTTTCCTACTCATGATCATTCAGGAATGCTTTGGCAAATAACTTAGACAACTACCCTTTATCCTTGCCTGGAAGTGCCTAAAAAAGCTTATAAACATATGATTTTCAGACTGGATACAAACCTGAGAACAATCTGAAGTTGCAAGCACATTTTCTAACTCTTTAACCAAAATTGCAGGAAGTCCTTAGCTATAAACAAATGAAACAAGCTAATGAATAAGGTATTAATATAAATTATTATGGTAGAATTCACATGATCTCTTTTAAAAATCTACCAGTTTAGGATAAGTCAGCAGTTCTGCTCAAAATAAATAAGAAGTGCCTGCTTTGGAATAGAGACTCAGCTCCATTACCTTCCTCCCTTCCAGAACACTGTGTTCTTTTATTTACAATGTTAGTGAGTACAAGACACCTGTCATATCCTGGGATAATTTATATAATTTTATATAAGACACAAATCAGGCAAACTAAAGACTCTGTTAAAGTTTGGGGTCCAACTGCTAATACTGCCTCAAGAAAATGAATATACCTGCACCAGTAAACAGTGGTTGCAAAACCAGACAACTATTCCCAGAACTCCACATGGGAGGAAAACACAGCCCAAAGTCATTTTGGAACAACCAAAGCAGGCTGTATAAAAATACAGAGTATAACACAAAGCATATTTATCAAACAAGCTACTCAATTACTAAAAACACAAGTGTCAGCTGACAACAGTGACTCTCCTCTGCAGATATTTATAATTTCATACAGTTCAGGGTATTTTAGAGTAATCAGACACTATTTGCTACAGATAATATTGCTTACATCAATTTTCAACTTGTTTTATTATTCCAGTGTAAATTGTTTATGACTACTTGCTACTGTGTTAGTAGAAACACTACATGATGAGTACACTACAACCCTATTTAGATACCTCTACTGTAGAAAGTAAAATCCATTTCTTTAAAAAAACCATAACCTCTCCCAATATACTATTAAATCCTTCTAAGATTTCTAACCCAGCAACATATTCAGAAAAAAATGTTACATCCCTCCTCTTCTGTCAGTCCTTCAAAGTCAACTATCCACTACCATAAATTGATGTTGTCATACAAAAAACCTCACATATAAATTTGAACGTGCCAGGAAACTTGATACTTTGCTTTTGCAGTACCAATTGTTCCTTGCACATGTTCATGCACAAGTGTAACCAATCATCTAATGAGAGCAGAGCTTCCTAATGTGTTGCTTCTAGATGCAAAGAAGCTTCTAGTGAATTCAGCCCTAAAAATTCAGTGTATCACTGTTCTTTAGTAGAAGTTACTCAATAATTTCCTATGAGATTATAATTAATTCCCATGCTACAAGGTCAATAAACTCAACTGTTTTCAGTTACTCAACATGTTCTTCCCAGGAGCTCTTAGCAAAACAAAGCAAAACACTGAAAACAGGCTGCACAAGATGTGGATTGCCAGAGTTTTGATCTCATAATACCACCTACTAAATGGGAAATAAATAGGGACCACACAACAAGGTTCAGGTCAGAGGCAACAGAAAGCTGCACACGGCACAGCTCTGTCCTGCTTTGCTTTTTTAAACAGATTAGGCCTTGTCTCAGCTCTGTTGATATGATTTGATGGCCCCTTTTCCATAACCTTTAAAAACACACGTTCCCACAGGGACACTCTCCTGGAATTACTTTCCATTCCGTGAAGAGCAGAACACCACCAAAGGCTGTGAGGGCTCGGGCTGGAGGCTCTGCAAGAACAAGACCTTCAGCATCTCAATTTGCTGAGCTCTACACTGCAGTCAGTGACCTTTCAGAGGAGTTCTGGCACAGGATAAACAAATCCAGCAGCCACTACTGCCCCAATGTTCAGTCAGCTCTGCCAAAGGCAAGCACAGGTAAGGAGCACCTCTGCAGGTGATCCATGGAATTCCCAGAGGCTGCAGGTGGCTGCTGGCAGCAGTGCTGAGCTGCCAGTTAAGGCCTGAAAATTGGGATGCCAAGAGCTTCAGTGCCTACAGTGTGACTTTGGAGTGCAGCCCAGCCTCAATGACATTGCCTACAGCTGTTTCCTACCCACAGGCTTTACAAGGAACCAAATTACAGCCTTCACAGTTCCTTGGTATATCTGACTATGCACTCCTTTTTTACTGTGCCCTCACTCACAGGAACAACCATCACCAATTGTTATCTAAACCACAGAATTCTTTCAAAGTTGTCAACTGAGGATTTTTAAATTTTGAGCTTGGGGCCTTTTCAGACATCTGATAGCAGGGCCAGACTTTTGCAATTCAATTAAGATCATGTTTGCAACACAATCCTCAGGTCTAACTTCCCCAGCCAGGCTTCATTTGAGTTCCCCAAATCCTCTATAAACAAAATGTACTTTTTTTTTTTCTTTATAGTTCATAAGGACCATTATAAATTTTGGAGGGAAAGGAAAAAAGAACTTACCAAGGAAAACCCACCAAACACAGAGAAACCTAAGAATCTTTTACAGTCAGACAGTGAATATAGGTAAAAAGCCCAATAACTGAAAGTAATTTATACCTTCTTATTATCAGGGCCATTCACCTCAAGACCACTGGTGATCCTTTCTACTTTATCCCAAGAACATTTTGACTAAAATTTGGAAATTTTAAATGTGTTCAGTAGACCATACTCAACTAGCTAAAACCCCCTAAATTAATAAAATAATAAAACAGCCTTTCTTGAGCCTTCAGTTCAGAAACAAAATTGGAAAAGCTGACAAGTCTAATAAGTGGAATACAGTTAATGGAGATGGTGAAATTCCAAAGATTTTAATTGATGAAAAGGATCCATCCAAGTTTAGCTAAAGAAAATAAATCAGCTTGAAGCCAACACAGACTTCTAGCTTGCCATATATCCCACTTCACATCACAACTGCATAAACAAAATGACGAAAAAAATTACAAATCAACATTAAAAATAATTCCTTCCAAAGCATTCTTAAAACTAAAAAACAAAATATGCTGGAAATTCAATAATTTTTTACAGCCTACAAGAATTCTTACATGAAGGATGCTAAATTTAATCCCCTCATTATCTGCCTTGTAAGGAAATTCCTGCCACACCACAAATGAAAATGAAGATCAAACCACACAATTTGACCAAGATCACAAAGTATAGACTTGTTTGTCTCCAAAACAGCTCTTGCAACAAAACAGGAACTGAGTCTTAATATATTCCATGGCTAAAGCTGCATCAGCCTCTGAAGCTCAATATGCTTCAAATCAAGAGCTTTACCACAATTTTTCAAAGGACAGACTCTTCTGTCCTGCCATCATGGATTTTAATATTCACCATGAGATTTTAGATCTCCTAAGAGCTTAAGAGACTTGGGAACACAATCAGTAGTAGAAAACAATACAAAAAATATCAGGTATGGAATTGGAACTCCAATTTTTATCTTTGGATAAAATAGTTTTATGTATGTTTTACTTATAACTGTTACTAGAGCAAAGCTTCCAAAAATATGTGCCATGTTCTTTGTCTTGTGCTTAAAAAACACTCAAACTTTGTAGCAGCCAGTAATATTTTACTAACTGGTCATAAAAATCTTGGTGGGGCTTTTTTCATTGCTCACTGTGTATGTATTCTATTAATTATTTAAGAAAAAAATAATTACTGGTTTTGATTTAGTGGTACAATGTAGCTATTCAACTATTTGTGGCACCATTAATCAAGGACTATGGAGTTTTAATTTCTCTCTTTCAACCTCTCCCTTGTATTCTGCATTCCCTACATAAATACATGACTGCTTTAGTTTATTTCTAGTATTGCCAACTCCTACAATATCACTTTGGTCATGACTTCTGGTGTTTTTCTTTGTACCCTGAATGTTAGAATTACATATTAATTACCTTCTTAAACCTATTCTTGTCCTCAATATTAAAGAAGAAACTTGAAAAGGCTGAGCAAATCATCAGCTTCATGAAGCTCAAAGACAAAAATGTAAACTTACCACTGCATTTTTAAAGAAATTATGATACTTTTAAGGCACTTTTTAAGAAGAATTTTTAATTACCAGATTCTTCCTTGTGAACAGATTTTGAAATAAAGTAATTCTTTCACTAAGTCAAAAGCATAATTAAATGCTTTGGATAAATCATACACTTAAACCACTTCACAAAAAAAGAATTCAATTTTCTCCATTTTTTGCATGTATCACAGGTATTTAAGTATCATACAGCAACAAAGGCAGATAACTGTACCTCCTTGCTTTAATTCCTCTTAAAACCTAAGATAAATATTTTTCTTGAGTAAAATGGTTTATGTTTCATGTCATAATTACCCTTTGTACAAGATTTATGCTCTCTCTATGCAACTTAGCAAAAAGATGTTGGAAAATTACTGTGAATGCTGAAGTTTTAACACCACCACCACACCGACAGCACTGTATAGAACAAATCTTTTGCAGGAAGGAGACAGGACATAGACATTGCAGGAGGAAAATAAGGAAGATGTTTATAAAAGCTTATTTACAGCACATGCTTCCCCTTGATTTTGGTAAGGTTAGTTTTTTTACTGTTTCTTAACTTCATCATCAGAGCACAAACTTTACAGAACTGAATCACTGCAGCTGAACCCGCACAATGAACTAATAACCTCTGTAATCATTTTTGAAGCTTTATTCTCTTTTTTTTTTTTTAAATGGGAGTTGGTAACTGAAAGAATCCTGCCAATTATATGGAAGGGATTTGAACAAAAGCAGAAATTGCTTAACAGCTTTATGACACAGCATCTACGGCAAGTGATGATGTGGCACAAAGCAGTTTTTTAAATTTTACTGGCAAATCAGAAGAGGGGCCACAAGGCTGTTATTTTGTGTTGCCTTCCCACAAGGCTCCTTACCACAAAATATGGCTTAGACAGACCTTTTGTTCCTCCAGCTGGGGTAGGCTATGTCTTAGATGATTTCACCAGCACAAGAACTTGCTGCCCTCTACAACCTGAACTTCTCAGCAGTCCAAAAAGTAAGTTTTCTTGGTAAGCAGGAATAAAATGAATTGATTGTGTTATTTTTCAGTGAAGAGGGATGAATGCATGTTATTTAATATTTAGCTCTCAGCAAGTAAACTGTTTGCAAATACAATTACTGAGCTCTGACTTGATTACAGATGGTAAAGAATCAAGCTTCTAAGATTTTCTATTGTTTTTCAACTTTGTAATGATGTGTTTTATCATATTGTGTGCATCTGACCTGCATTTCCTGCTGTCAAGTTTCACCTGACACGAGTGTTTTAAAGCTAGTTGAATTCTTAGAAATATTTCATGAAGAGGTGTCAGTGTCTCAGTGCCCTGAGACACAACCTGCAAGCCTGGCAGGACAGTTCCCATTCTGTCAGTAAGATACTCTGCTACAGCCAAAGTATTGAAATGTCTCCCCAAAACCAGCTCCTCCCTCTCCATTAAAGAAGAGAGAGGGAAGTGGGAGACTTTGGTACATATTACTTCTTATTTATCATTTCATCTGACATGATGAGAGCTCTCCTCACGTTGTCCTTGTGGCAAATAGATCAATCCTACAATGGCCTTATTTCTCAAAGTGAGAAGACTTACCCGAGTTGCCCCTCCTGGTTTCTAAGGACAATTGTGGCACCAAGAACAAAAATTATTAATTGGAAGTTTTGTGACATAGAGTAGAAGTGCTGAGAGAATAGAACCAGAAGGTGAAGCTCAAGTTCTGGACTGCAACTGAAGAGGGAGGCATCAAAAGGGAACAAAGAGCATGAAATAGGCAAGCGGGACAGACTGGGATCTGTTCCACAAAACCAGAAGGCAGTCATGGGACTTAGAAACAGATTTTAGATAGACACCAACTGGACTGATTAGGAGATATTCTGATATACACTGCCTGAAATGTGAAACCCAGTGAATTTCTCCTGAAGCACAGAATTCCTTCTCAACCCAGCACAGTGTAATTATGCAGCACTGGGGTGTAAAGCAGCTCTGTGTCTCTGCTATTTGCTTAATTAGCTCGGACATCCCGCAATGCTGCAGGGATATGGAGTCCCTGGCTTTGTGAAGAACCTACCTGGAGAGGAGTTCCTGACTCCAGTCAAACCTGGTTTTAAGGTTTTCATCAGTTATGAAACTCAGCTGCATTCAAATGCAAAGTTCGATATGCAGGTTAGGCAATGCCCCACGGTGACACCCAGCCACTGGCACACAGCACTACTGCAAGGATGCAGCAAATTCCAATAGTTTGTTACTGCTTTTCTTCTCAGAATTCTCTCTTTGCTGTTCAGTTCATAGAATACATCACCCATTAGGTAATCACCACTAGGAATCACCAGAAATGACTACTTGTCTCATCTCCTTTGTTACTGAGTGTTCAGTAAACAAATATTGACAAAGAGTCCCTTGGGTATGAAAGATACATTAAAAAAAAAAAAAAAAAAAAAAAAGAGAATGACTGCTTTTCTCTCTCTGCTTCAGGGTATACTGAGCAAAGTCTCTTAAAATTTTTCCATGACTTCTGTGGTTTGACCTGCAATGTAACATTTTGACTCACTGCTGCTTAAATTGAACAGCTTCACATGATTCACAACTCTCATTCTGCCAAATAACATGGTTCCTTTGACTGCATAAAGTACTCTAAAAGGTTAGACTGACTTTGAGCATCAGAAATTTGACATGCAAAATGATTTGCCTTTCACAACATCAGGATTTCACCTCAGAAGGGTATTTGGAAGGTAAATTAGTTGACATCTATAAAGAACATATGATTACAGAAGCAGAAGAAGACTACAAAGAAAACTTACCCACTAAAGATTTTACACCATGTGCAGTGCATGATGGCTGAATTGCACTGGCTTTAAATAAATGATGGGAACAGAAAAATCACATTATATCATCATTAACACAGTACTAAGTCAGTCATGTTTTGTGGAAAATAGAAAAACAGCACAAAATGCCACAGAACACACAATTTGCAAAGCCACATAAATTTCTATTTTACATAATGCACAATATTTCCAAGTAATCTATTTCAGGTTTTTTTTTTAAACAATCCTGTTATGGTATCCTTCAGTACCAACCACAGCACAGATGGAAAACTGTTCCTTGCCTGAAGTCGGACCACAAAACTTCTGTTTACTTCAAGGACAGATTTGTTTATGTTTTTTATGTGGAAGGTACAGATCAGAACTTGGGATTCCTCGTAATGTCACAGACAATGTTGCCAAAAAAAGGCATTAATCTACTAACTTCATTAGATATTGCTGCTACTTAAAACTTTGTGTGCTATTTACTTTATCTAAAAGTTAATGTTTCTTCTTATCAACAGGTCACAACATATCAATTTAAATATGGGGATTCTGAGCAACCTATCGATCCTCCACCTACTCTGCACTGCTTTGGTCTTTTGTCAGTATGAAGACTATGATTTTGAGGATGAATATGGTGGGGAGCCAGATCACCAACTTCCATATTATTTTAACCCAAACGCCCAAGCTGAAGTTCCTCGTTTTCCTTTTCCAGTTGAGTGTGCCAAAGAATGCTTTTGTCCACCAGCTTTTCCCTTATCCATGTACTGCGACCACCGGAAACTCAAGACAATACCAAACATCCCCAGCCATGTCCAACAACTTTATCTGCAAAACAACAACATTGAAGCTGTGCCTGCAGGACCATTCACTAATGTTACCTTCATAAGGGAAATTAACCTCAGCTACAACAACATTAAATTCCATATGATTGACCATGGTGTTTTTGCCAAACTTTCACACTTAGTGCAACTTCATTTACAACATAATGAATTAGAGGAATTTCCGTTCCCTCTGCCCAGCTCTCTAGAGAGACTCCTCCTTGCTTTTAATAAAATTTCCCGGTTACCTGCAAATGCATTGGAAGGATTGCCCAACATGACCACGCTTGACCTTTGCAATAACTTACTTGACGACTCAGTATTCAAAGAAAAACCCTTCTCAAACATGAAAAATTTAATGCAGCTCAACTTATGCAACAACAAATTACAGACAATGCCTCCTGACCTGCCACCATCACTTCGGCATCTTTCTCTTGAAAATAACTCAATTTCTCATATTCCAGAAAACTATTTCCACAGACTTCCCCATATCATTGCTCTAAGAATGTCCCACAATAACCTGCAGGACATTTCACCCAACACCTTTAATCTACCTAACCTTCTAGAACTTAATCTTGGACACAACAAATTGAAACAAGTATTCTACATTCCAAGAAGTTTGCAGCATTTGTACATTGAAGACAATGAAATTGAAAGTAGGTTGGATAGTTAAACTTTGTAAAAAGCAATAAACTTAGTGGATTTTGGCTTTGGTCGTGGGAGAAGTGTGGGGAGAATATAATCTTATATTCTTTGGAATGCAACATAAACACATCCTCAGTCATTTGAGACGAATTTGAAATTAGAGAGGATTTAATTTTTGAAGCTTTTCTCTAATCACAGTTATTTGTAAAAGTTAATACCAGTTTTTCATGTAACAGCTAAATTTTTTTTTAAAAATTCCTTCTCATTTTGCAACTGATAAAAACATACAGAGAAAAGGAATTATGAAAATATTTAATTCTCATAAAACAGTAATTACAAATAGCTTACCTCACAACCTTATATTTTTCAAGCCCCCAAACTGGTACCATTGTCAGTTACAAAACTGATTCAAAGCATAGAGAAGGATTATATTACTGTGCACCACAAAAACATTTTCTATTTTAGATTTCAAAACATAAGTTTCACTTTTGCAATAGGTCTAGAACATAACTGCTTTCTGCATTTTAATTCATACTTTTCACTCTCTTACAGACATCAACGTTACTGTGATGTGTCCAACTCTGGACGCACTGAACATCAAGCAGTTAACCTACATACGCGTGGACCAGAACAAGCTCACAAGCCCCATCAGCACCTATGCCTTTTTCTGCTTCCCTCTCATCAGAACCATTTATTATGGAGAGCAAAATGTCACTGTCAGCAGGCCAAGCCAGCTCAGAACACCGGTGTTCCGGCGGTTTCTAACACCAGAGGAATTCCAGGAAGCAGAAGACAATCATGAAACGCTCAATCAAGAAACCGAAGAAGATCATGAAGCAGAAGACAGCTATTTTCATCCTTACTATCACTGAAGTAATCATTGTTAATAAGTATATATGGAAACTTCTCATTAGTCTGGGTCATTCATATCTGTCCTAGAGTAACTGGGCAGTTTGGGATATTCAAGATGCATCTATAAAGTGGAGATAGGAGTTTAAAGTAGGTAAATGTCCTATTATTGGTGTAGCAAAAAACAACACTAGGAACAAAGAACACTCACCTGAGCATTAGATAAAGGTCTGACACATAACCTGGGTTGATGAGGGGCTCACCTCTGGGTGAGCAGCCAAAGTGAAAGAAAATTGACTTGAAATTCTGTTCTAAAGTGATCCAATTGCAAAATGACTAAATTATAAATCAGCATCATAATTCAAGAGGAACAAGTGATTAAGGCAAAAAATCCATCCAGCTCTACATCCTACTGCTGACAGCAGTAGCAAAGAGATGCACTAGAGAAAAAAAACAAAAGATTGAGATCATAAAATACCTCCACAAGGCTCCTCCACACCTCCCAGAAATACAGATATTTCTTCTTCCAATTTCTAACTGAACAAGGACATCACAAATATGGAGCTTCAAAGCTTCCCTATATTATGTTTCAAGTGTCCTGACAAGTATTATAATATTCACTTCTTTGGATGTCCTTTAACTATCACAGTCTTTCAAAAGAGATTTCAGCTTATTACTAACACTCTTTCACCAAGCTGCTGGGATCTAGGGAAAAGCATGTGCATTAACACAACTGAACCATTAGCATTTATATTTTCCCTTTGCTTCAGCCCATGTTATTGTAGAAGACACATAGAAATGTAATGTAATCTTTGCATGTAGAATTATTCATCAAGTAGGACAGGTACAAAGAAAAGCATTGCAGGCTTTTTTAGCTGTTAATTTATCCCTCTGCACAGCTAATATCAATTAGCTGTATTCTGCTTCAAAGTACAATCAACATTGCTTTAAGTAACCTGAAGAAAACTCTGAGCTACGCAAATTTTTTTTATATCTTATGCCTAGAAACAGATCCAGATAACTACAGGAGAAGATAACACTATAGAGCACTTTATTGCCTTTTTTTATCACTTCATTTTTCAGCACTTTTTCCTTGATAGAGCTTTACTAGCTGTGAGTGAAAAAAAAAAAAATCCCTGTTTTCAACAGCAAAATGAAATTTTTGCAAGTGACAGATCCATACATCATACTACCAACTTTGCATAATTTTATGTAGTCTTTTCAGTTGTCCAACGCTTAAAGTACAATGTAATCAGATTTCTATTAGAATTTGAGAAGCTAGGCAGGTTTCATTTTTTATCTTAGAATTTTGGTTATTTTTTTAGGTTCATATTCATATTTATGGTTTCTGATGTATCAACTGAAATATTAAGAAAATGAAAATACTTAATTACTTCTTTTTAAGAAAAAGTTTTATTGTAAAGCTATGAATATAAAACTTTAAGAATATATATATATATATAGACTTTAAGGACAACTGGTTGTAAGAATTTGTGTACAAAATTTATTCTATTGTTATTAATTTGTGGATCTTCAGCCAAGTAACTCAAGAAATCTGCTCCTCTCTCCTTCCTGTTTTTCTTATCTGCATTCTGAGCAGATCCAGTATCCATAGCAAACTATTTTATGGTCACCTCACAAATTCACAGTGCTACAGAATGTCTGCTTTTTAAAAAAAAATTATTAATATTTCTCACACTCAAACACCTCTGGGTTTCTGAAAAAGGAACACATGCATGTATTCATTCCTTAAGTACTCAACATCATTTATGTACACTATATACAATAATTTAGATATATCTATAACTTTATTGCTTTATTAATACATACATGTAGTATATTAAGCTTTCAACTATTTCAGATTTTAAGTGAATGGTGCACAAAATGCAAATCTAAAATAAGAGGATTTTTGAAAGGCTTGCTCAGCTTTAAAAATAAAAGAACACTATCCTGCTATAGTATGAATATTACATCTTTTATCACAAACTTTCTGCTTTGTAAAGACATTTATGAAACAAAGCTTAGCTTTAAAGTAGAAGTCAAAACATTGATGCTATATACATTTCTCAAAGTCAAAGTGGAAATTATTGAAAACTTCAGAGCTGTCTTATTACACTTGACTCATTTAGGTGGAACATGAAATTTGTATTACAAGAAGAACTATTATAACTCACTTTTCTTTCAATTAATATTATCATATAATCTGTAGCACATAGGACACTTATTCCAGAAAGGCTTTTACAGTGGACAGAGAACTAAAGACTTGGTAGCCTTAGAGAAATGAGAATTATAATAAAGTACTGGATTAATAGATATCAAGCTGGGTGAAATTTGCTCTGGTAACACAGGGGATGCTGTCTGTAAAAGTCATGATGGTTTTGCCTTCCAAATATCTTGGAGTTCTCTGGGAATCATGAAGGATACGGAAAAGGGAGATCCTGGTCCAAACAGCCTACAAAAATTTGTAAAGGTTTTTAAGGAAATTAAGTTGCCACAGATTAAAAGGCAACATCACAAACAAAAATCAAATAAAGTATGAGAAACAGCCTAAAAATAAATGGTCAGTTCTTGCTGTGGAGGGGGATCCCACTGGTGGGAACTTTGCAGAGGGCCTGTGCTGGAATTTATTCCATTTAAAATGCTAGCAAGAGATAGATAAACCAGGCTGAGAAGGGAGATGCCAGCAATGAGTGCTAAGTGTTGCTGGAGAATGGCTGCAAATGTCCTCAGGATGCTAAAGCAGCCAGTGGAGCTCATCACAGTTAAATGAGAAGTGATGTCCATGGAAATGATGATCTTAGTTCCACATTAAAACTAATGAAGGATGACCTCACCAACATCACTCAGGGAGCAAGACTCAGAAGTGCTTCAGTAGCAATAGGTGTTCAGTGAAAACTGGCTCAGCACCCAGGAGTCACAAAAAGGAAACTCAAATGTAGACAGTAACTATAGACAAATGGAAAACAAGACACTGCTATAAACCTGTGGCTCACCCAGACATTAAATGCAGTATTGATTTCCAAAGCCTCAGGCAGCTGGTGTAATTACACAGGGTATGACTGGAAAAGGATTAGAGCAAGGTCACCCAAGGTAAGGATTGGCTTCTATATCAACAACGTGGAACGAACTAGGGCTCAGCAAAGAGATGTCTGACGGGGATACAGAAGATACCCACAAAATTATGAGTTGCATTGACAGCAAGGGTCTGGGGATCTGCTCCAGTACAAGGGAAGGAGCCATCAAATGAAGCTTATAGGTCCCATGTACCCGAGGACACAGTGGATGCAGCAGCAATTTTAGACGTGGTGTTAAGAAAAGATACAGACAGTAATTGTGTTCCTTGGAAGAGATCCATTAAAGGTTGCTAAATGAAACACAGTAGGGACCAAAGTGCTGAGCTGCAAATAGCTGGAGAATGGAAGAACACTTGAAGACAGGATAGAGACAAGGATCATACATCATTGTTCTATTCTCTGTCTTCCCAAAGCATCTGTTCATGGGCATTGCTGGACACAGGATATTGTACACTAACCTTTATTAATTCCACACCAGTTCTATGTTGTCACTATCCTGAACCATGGTAATGTGCTGGTTCTGCGCCTCACTACCACTGCCTTGAGACAGTGTAAAACATACCTGCTTCATGTTTGCTCTGGTACTTACTTACAAACTATACAGTGTTTTTAAAGCAGAAAATAGGTTCATAACGAAGAACTAAACATGCTATTTATTTTATCAGTAACAGCAAAACCTAACAAGGAAATAGCTTAATGAGTTTGTTTACAGCACAGTCAGAAAATACAGAAACAAAGCTTGTTCTGAGTTTTAACTCTGCATTTCCATGAGCAATTCAGGTAGAGTGCCAACCACCAAAAGTTATTATAAAAATCAAAAGAAAGAGAACTAAAAGTAGTTTAATCCAACACTTCATATTTCTTTCTTTAGCCCCAAAAAAGTGGGAATATATTTTGCGTTTTCCTGATAAATATTTTTCACACTTTGCTTCAGTACTCTGATAATAAAAGTTATGTGGATGAGGCCAGAAGCTCCTTTATAGAAAACAGATGTTTTACAGTTCACATTTTCTGACTTAGTTTGACATATTCACATTCCACTTTTACAACACAAACCCATTTCCTTCTTTGTTGCCCAACCTGATCATTGTGAGCTATAAGCACAAGCATTTTCTACCTGAAAAGCAGGAAAGGGGAATAGACTATATTTTTAACAAAAAAGTACACATTGAAGAGTTTTCACTATCATTTTCCAGTCCATTTTCCAGTTCCATTTTCCACTATCATTTTCTGCTGCAAGAGTATGAACTATTCAGCTATAATCCAATTTGTGTATACACTATTGCAACTTATGGAATTACACAAATACAAACATTTTTAATGTTTTAACTGTTTTGCCCAAAATTTATATTTCTAACAACCTAATTAATTTAAAAGGAAAATAAACAGAAACACAACCTTGTAATTCATTGCATAAATTCATCATCGACAGAGAGAAAAAAACCCCACACTAACCTTCCCCTATTATACAAGTACAATGCAAGGAAAACAGATCAATGTGAAGATGAGCCATGAACACAGTAAAGCAGATGCTATGAACAACATAAGGAACAGATGCCTGGAACACTGCAGTAAAATATGGATAAGGCCAATGTTTCTTGGAGCCCTGACTCAAATGTCCCTGTGGACATAGTAACAGCTCTCAACAAATGATGGTCTTGTCATAAGGAAGTAATGCCAATTCTGGAAGGAATTCTAAGAAATTATAATAAATTGCAGTAGGTTGGCTTTTGTTTCAGGATATAACTGATGTCACATAGAAAAGCTCAGGAGAACATGTGTCTAACAGAGAGGTCTGGGTAAATAGCACTGTTACTCTGGTTATCATTTGTATTTGTTAACCATAGTTTGATTTCTGTTTAATATTATGCATGATTTTTGCAATGTGCTTTATTCATTTGTAACACAGTAACGATAAAAGTCTTTCTTTTCCAGAAATGCAAGAAATAAAGGTAATATATTCAGCTTTAAAAAATTCTGATTATAAATCAGAAACATATGGAAGGATGTTCATACAATCACTAGGTCATTTTTCAGCTGTCTTCATTTTGCAGCTGGTGGCCCTAACAGTGACCTAAACTGATTTAATTCACTGAGCCTTGGAAATAGTTGCAACTTTTCATAAAAATCTGGAGGTGTTTATGCATAACCATTTCAGGTACTTCTTTGTTGATTCTGAATTTTGAAGAATGTTCTACGTTTTCTCTCTAGGACATGATGACATTTATTTTACATTTAATACTACCTCTGAACCCTCCTCCATCCCTCAGGGATGCTGAGTTGGAATTGACTTTGCTTTACACAACTACTCTTCTACAGCACCACCTTCAGTTTTCAAACCAGTGAAGAAACCAGGAGATTGCTCCCTCCTCTCTCTGGGATACTTTTAGTTCCCAGAATAAATGCAACTCTATCATCATTACTGGCATTAAACTGGCTTAAAAACTATTTTTACATCCTCTATCAGGACCTTAACAAAAAGCAGAAGGGAATGAAGGAGTCTGAGAAGTTTCATATCATACATTTATGCAGCAGCAAAGAGTTAAAAGTAGTTGTGGAGAGTAGAATTAATCCCACGTAAATATCAAAGGAAAAGGCTTGTGTTTTAGAAGATAAAACTTGTGTAGAGAGCCATTCCAAAAAGTTATTTCTTTTAGGTTACAAAAGGAGAAAATAAAAATAGAACCATTGAGTTCAGTTCTAACATCACTAATGCTTTTGCCCTCTTTAACAGCCAGTCTCTCACTGCTTGCAGATTATTATGTACATGTTATCAGGCTGGTGCAGTAACTGTCTTTTCCTCTATAAAACCTTTTCTATTATAATTACTCCAATCCAGAGAAGCTGGTCAACATTGTGAGGTGTTTAAATCACACTCTACACAAGCTATGCCAAGGAACCTCCAACATGTTACCTTCCACATGAAGCAGAAATACCACACACAAAAGAAAAGCCAGCATTGTGCCCAGGTCTATAAATACCCAAGAATCTTTAAGAGCTTTCCTAATTTGTCCTCATCTCATTCTTTCCTACACAGATGTCTGGCCAAAAGAAGACACTGACTTGGAGCATTCTGTGTAAGGGATTCCCAGCACCCACCATAAGCACAGGTCAGCTGAGCAATAACCCATAGTACTTTTTTTTCCAAGAACACTTATAAACAGTAAAACTCAGAAATGGCAGAAGTTGCCAATATCATCCTTTAGAGATTGTGATACAAGATGAAAGCCAAGGTCTTCAAGCAGCTAAAATACACTTCCTCTGTCTAAACACAGAACAAACCCGAGTGATTAAAAAGAATCTCAGCTTTGGTTTATTTCGTAAGGAATATCTTGATAGCAATTTTGTGGGGCTCGCCCTAGCACTGCCTCACAGCCTCATTAACCCCTGCACCCCAGAGGTAAGGCCCTGTGTTTTTTCTCCCCATTTTTCTTTTCCCAGTGCTCTGTCTCCCATTGCACAACTACAAGTCCTTGTATAGGCAGTGCCAGCCCTGCCCCCATGTAATTCCTACAGGAACCTTGGAGAAGTCATTTCCAACCTGTCTTGCACAGAGCAAAGTCTACCCCCCTCTCTACTGACACATAAACGAAATACTAGATTCTTTCCCAGATTCTGAAGATTTAGTCAGCAACATGTTTGGATAGTTACCCTCATTTCTGTCTTGCTCTGCTATGTTTTTCCTGCCTCTGCCATCCACACCCATCCAGCTTCTCACTTTTTCTCTGATTCTTTGTTGTCTAACAACAGAAGAAAACCTTGGGGAACAAATTTTACACCTACTCTGTATGCAACCGTTTTCACCTAAAACTAAGTTTTCCTGACAGCAGAATCCAGAGACCAGAATGCAATCCCATTAATCTGGCTTGGGTTCTATCCACTACAACAAGTCTTGTGGTTCATTTACACCTTCAGCTACACTTTATATCCTTACAAAATGACACGGCAATGACTACTGTTCAAATTTAAGTCACAATTCCATGTCAACAAAGTTAGGAAAAATAACCTTTTAAAATTACTAACAGTCAGTACAGCTGAAAGTATTTTGTGGGGAAATCAGTCAGTGCAAATGAGACATCATAGGGAAATCAAAGAACACACCATGGACACATTATCAAGGCCCTCCTCAAAAACTGGAGCTCAATGAGTTAACAAAACAGCAGGCTTAGGTTTCCAGAAAAGAAACATCTTCCAAGTACATCGATCCCTGTAACCAGAGTCCAAGCAAAAGACACTTATACATCCAATTTCCAAGCACTAACAGTGCCTAGAAAGCACTCCCTGCTTGCCAGGGTGTTTCCTGTGAGCTCCCCTACTGCCAATGCATATGAACCACATATTTCATCTCACATGATTTGGACATTGTGGTAATTTCTAGTCACTCTGAGCAAGAAAAAAGCAGTTGAAGGAAGCAATAGTCCTCTTGCTTGTTTGCAGTCACCCGTACCACCCCCATCCTTGTGCTGATCTGAGCATGTGGTACATGTTCAGATAAAAACTGATTTTATCTGACATTATTTGCTGATACATTTTCTTCTTTCATGACAATGCTGACAAACTATGGGACAAGCAAGATTACAACTTTATTTGGCACTGTGAGCTACTCCTTGATGGCATCGTGCCAAATGAACTACTTAACGTGTCCCTCTTTGAATGTATTTGTAAGGAAGTGTTCATGAGCTTCTGAGAGGTGCCTCTATTGCAGAGAGTACACACACAACAACCTTTCTGTGATAAGCACACAACCGAAATCTTGTGACCCTGATGAACACAGACTTTTCATGTTTTGTGCAGAAGCTGGTCCTGAAGTTGTCTAAAAATTCAGAGCCTCTTCTCCTCTTGCAGATCAAAACAAACACGTTTCCTTGAATGAAGACTTCCTACATTTTCAAGGCCTCATTTATCTAGTAGTTTTCCCTAATTTTTTAAAGTTGTTATATGTAAGGAAAAGATAAAGCTATTCCTAAGATATTCTGTGTAGCTGTGAAATCTAGGATTTAAGTACTTACAAAATAAATTATCATAAAACTATAATATATTTAATATTTTATATCTTGATTTCAGCTTCAATACTTAGTAGTTTTTTTCCCTTAGGATAGTTATCCTTTGATTACATTTAAGCACTGGAAACATTTGGATGCTCCAGAGAGAGAGGGAATCCTCATGTGGATGTTTGGCAGATGGGTGGCAGCTGGAAAGGGTAAGTACAAAGCAGAGCTATCATTACTTCCCAGACAGGCAGGAGGGATGCTAAGATGGTACTGACACTGCAATTTAACCATTTCCAAACTCCTGGTGTCATTGTTCCAGCAGAGGAGCATGCAATGGGATTCAGGGCCCAATTTCCATTATTACTGAGCCTCTTCCCTTCACATCTCCATTTGATCATCACAGCATTATCCTAGAGCAAGCTTCCAAACTATCAGATTGTTAAACTTGCATATGAACTAAGCTACAAACATTTGTATAAAATCCAAATGAGTTCAGAAACTGGTGGTATTATAAACTCAAAAAGATTTTAGACAGCAACTGGCTGTAGTCACTCTGCAGATTTCCTACAGATATTTGGCTGCTAAACAAGGCAGCATTTAAAAGAAAACTTAACCAAAAAGGTCCACAGTTTATCACCAGCATTACTCTAGGAAAAAAAAAAAAAAAGAAAAAAGGTATGACAATAAAAGAGAAAAGTAAATCTGGATATATTCCCACAAGATTTTATTGCTACATACTTTTTAAAGACTTGAGAAAGCTACTCTATAAACTTTCAGAGTTGGTCATCTGTCTCCCATTTGTGCTGACTGCCAAAATTCATAATGAGGAAAAGGATGGGGGAGGAAGAAATGCATTACAAATCCAGAAAAATGCTGCTCATAGTTCAGATGGAATTCTACACCTGGACAGTGTTCACTGAGTTATCTGTAAAACTGAAGCAGAACTTTATTCAAAGCAAGTATTTTTTGTGAAACCCATTTTTCAATAAACTGTCTATTAATGAAGGATTTAGACCCTGATTGTCTAAAAATCTCAAACAAGAAATTCTAAACCATTTTTCAATAAACTGTCTAATAAGTCAATTAATGAAGGATTTAGACCCTGATTGTCTAAAAATCTCAAACAAGAAATTCTAAAGAATGTTTTTCCAGAACTCCTCAGACTGAAAAGTTTCCATTTCATAGATAGGTAAAACTTCTCTAAACATATATAACTTGTAATAAAACATTTTACTATTCACAAAATGTGACTAATACAACAGACGTGTGTTTTGGCTCTACCTCTGTCTCAGAAAGCAGCTGCTTTGTCTCTAGGCTGAAGCATTTCACAAAATGGATAACACATGCCTTATTAGAGACCTCCAGTTTGCACAATTAATATTTCATTTACAGAAAAAGCCTTAGCAAATATAAAGAGCAAATCACCACAAAACAGAAAGCTGACATTTTAACAAGGAACACCAAAAGTAGGATGAGCTACACAGACTTTTGCAAATGTTATGCAAAGTACAACCCCCTGCTCCAGGATATTACCTCTCACCCTGGGAGAGAATGCTGGCAAAGCGTTTTTACCCCATGGAAAGCACTTTCCAGACTGTCAAACTTTGAGAATTCAGTTCAACAATTTGGATGTAATGCATAACTTGAACCTAAAGTACATTGACAAAAGGATAACTATAGATAAGGATATCTGTTTTTTCATTGAAGAGCTTGGAATCTGCTAAAAAGGTAGGTGGACTTTTTTCCTAAAAGTAGATTAACTTAGAGCTTAAATAAAAATACAGTTAAGAGGAGAAAAATGCTGTGCAATGATTTATTTTTTAAAATATTGCAAGCATATTTAAAATGTTTCAAAGATAATGTTTGCAGCCTCTTTCCCTTTCTTGTCTGAAAAGTGCCCAACCTGTATAATATTCTGAGGGTATTAAGTTATCTTATCTTGTTTAGTCTGACATGTAAAGTAAAAGACAATGAGAGGCTTTTGTTATAGAGCATTTAGGTTTGAAAACCCTTATTTTGACAATAAAGAAAAATGCATTTGAACCTCACATATTTCAATTAGTTAATCTACATATATGCCTAATATTTAATATTAACAAAATTGTCTTGCTTTTAACAAAAATAAACTGGGAAACAAACAAGTGCAACTAAGATAATATTTTCCTTATTTGTTATAAAATGTTTATTATTTCCCAGGTTCTTCTAATGTTAAGAACAGGTTCTATAAAGTTAGAGTCTAATTAAAGGATACCAAGAGTTAAAAGTTGTTCCATGTTCCTTATGTGTTAGAAACCACTGCCAACAAGTACTCTAGGCTTTAAATATTGTTTTGACGGATTGCATTTTCATTTCCAGCCCCAAAGAAAGTGTTTCCAGAGTCCAGGCACGAGCAGATCTTCACCAGCTCACTGAAAGCCATATACATCGTTCTGGGCAACAATGGAGACTTTGCAGGCTACTTTTTTTTTGTTTGTGTTTGTACCTTTGGTAAATCCAGCACCACCTCTACAGCAAGAATCACTCCAGTTCTATGACTATGATAGAGATGTTTCCATGGAAAGCCTGACCCAACAAGATTATGAAATGCAATCCAAGGATATAAGAAAGGTATTTTATTTATATTTTCTTTTAAATATTTTTAACTAAAATAAGCATTATATGAGAAAGGTGTTATGTGCATGCGTGTGAGTTTTATGGAGAAGTCCTAAAATACAGGGAAACATACAATGAGTTCAGACATAGGGAAAGCCACTCAAACTAAAACCACAAAAAAAAAAAAAAAATCCTTGCTGCAGTCTGAGTAAGCCACAGAAGGCAGGCTTGCACAAATAAGGCTAAAGCATCATTTTCACTCTGCTGTTCTTGTGTGCCTGCAATCATAAAGTTTAAAGAACAGGATACGTTAATTACTAGCTCAACAGTTTTAGCAATGTTGTATTATCTCAGTGATTTTGCTTAAGAACAAGGAAGGTGTTTGTTTTTTTTTTTTTACACTACCAAAGTATTAATTGGAACCCCCCTTTTTATGGAACATAATCTGCCAGTAGAAACCACAGTTCCTCCTTTGACCTGCCAAACTATCAAGTTTCTTGCCTCAGTTTTTCAGGGGTGGGTGGTTTGGGTTTTTTTACACCTCAACAGTTCAGCAGTCCAAAACTTCTATAGAATGCCCAGTGCTAGAGGAGTCACTTACACATTAACACTTTGAGGGTCTTGATAAAGAGAATATCCCCTGCATCTCAGGGCACTCACCAGCATCTCCCAACAGAATGTTTTTGTTGGGTGCTCCACATTCCTGCCCCTGAATTTCAATACAAAGCCAGGGGAGAATTAAGTGAAGTGCCACAACCTCAGCTGCCAGGGACAGTTACAAACGTCACACCCCCTTTCAAACCTAAGCAGTACACAGCAAGAGAGAAGGAGATACAACACTGATCAGGGAGAAAAAACAGCAGCAATTGTCCCAAGAGTAGTTGCCAAGGAAAATACCACAGATCCAAAGCAAGTGGTAACAGCTCAGTACGAAAAGCTCAAGGAGGTTTTCATTAATATTAACTGTACTTGTTACAATAACTTAGCCTGATAAGCAAGAAAAATAAAACAGTAAAAGATAGTAAGCAAAAAATTGCAGTTCAAATATAGAAAAATACCTTTTGTATACCTTTTTAATATTTCCCCCATCTACTTAAATTACAGCTCTCCATTGTTGATTAAAACAATCAGCTACATATTTATGGCAAATAAATGTCTAAGGTATTTTTAAATCTGACATCTACCACAGTGATGAAGTAACATGTTTTCATAAACCCATGAAAAAGGGAATACATAAATGACTCTTAACTAATTGGTAACTATCCATTCAGAAGTAAGTCTTTAAAAAATATTAAACCTGTTAACTTTAACCAGCTGGGCACAGCATCAGATGACACTGATCAATAAGTTGCTCCTTCAGTAATGGAACAAGGAGTATACCTACATGGAAATGGTGCCAACAGATGTGCCACAGACAAATCAAAGTCCTCCTGGCAGGGCTATAAGCTGGAGGTCTTCTGAAGGCCAACAGTTTTGCTTAGGATAATTCTAAGGAATGTAGTCAGTCATTATTTCCATCAGGTCAGGTCTCTATTGACATGTTTTCATTGCAAAATAATAAATGAGTTCCTTATGTGCAACAACTACGTTGACACAAGTGCCAGTGTTCCCAGTTTACATCATGGGGTGCACAAACAGATCTTCTATTCATTTATTACACCAATTTTACTCCCCAAATATTCCAAGCGCTAACTGGAACTGAAATGCATGCCAAATGTTTCCTCAAGCATGCTCAGTCAGAAATCTGTCTTGCATACAAATTTAACTCCTTACTATATGCTTGAACACACTGTTAGAAAAAAGACTTTTACTAAAAACATCAGAAGAAATTAGTTACTGTGATTATTTGATACCACAGCCACACCAGTCTTGAATAAAATTTGAGCAATTTAAAACATAAAATCTTAATTTCGACAAGAGAACAGAACCACTTAATTAGATGCTGTCTCACATCTGGACTAACTGATTTAATTGAATATAAACTACCAGACCTTTGTGTTATAAGATGAATAATTATTTGGCAGAAATTTGAAGATGGTTGGAGTATTTAGATGTAAAGTGCTAATGTGTCTGTGCAGTAAAGTGGAAGAGGCAGGTGGAATTTAAGTATGTGAGTAGGCCAATAGTCCTTCAGTGCATTCCTGACATAGGCAAGTAATAAACTTGTGGTTATAATCCAAACAATCTTCTGCACTGATACTCTATTGTGATGAATTTTTATGGCTGAACAGCAAATATTTTTTAATTTTAGGAATTTAATGGTATTCTGCAAATTACCAGTTTTAATTGTAATGACATTTCCCACTGGCAGAGATTAGCAGTACATTGCATTATGCTAAGAAGTCCCACAAAAGACTACTTTGATGCCTCAAGAAGGAGACCGTGCTAGAAATCTTCACCTGGGACAGATAAGCTGTGCCAGCAAATATTATTAAATATCCCTCAGGAGCCAAACCAGCTGCAGCCATACAAGTCCACCTGTACCATGAGCAGTCCATGCACGCAGAAGTCTCTACTGGCACACATACTCAAGGTCCATGTCTTCATGTGCCTAATAACCCATCTTTGTGAGCTAACTCCTGCAGAAAGCTGCTGGGAGATTTGCTGTTTGCTGGAGCGTAGCTGGTAAGCTGACACCCCCAGCTTCCCTCCACCCAGCATTCTGGCCACACTGCTGCCAGAATCCTACTGAGAACCTTAAACTTCCTAACAGAGAACCCAAAAACTTCACTAGGACAAACCAAGCTAGCCCAAACCAGAGCCAGAGCCTGGAGAGGCAGACGCAGGGAAGAGCCAAGGGACGGATGATTCACAGGCTAAAAAGGGGTCAAAATGACAGAGGCTGGCCAAGATATTTGTTTCTCAGGCTTTATGTCAAGCATGAGGGGTTTGTTTTGCAGTATAAAAAAATTCCCACAGTAAAGTACACACAAGCAACTAAATACCAAATAAAACGCAGTATCAGAAGGAGCTTGAAAGCTCTTAGCTGCACACTGCACTTGCAGATGAACCACCTGTGTGCCTGAAGGAGAGGAGAGTGGGGGATTAAGAAAACTAAAAGGGGTTCATTTGTCAGCACTCCCAGTGTGCAAGTAACTCTTCCACAGAGCATTCCTGCCCGGGCCTGATCCTTAAGCATGTTTAAAGAAAAACATCTTCCACATCTCACAGTGTTTTTTCCTGCATGTGTTTCCAATAGCCACACACACCAAAAAACATATCGGCTTGTTCTGTCCTACAAATATTCCCCATTAAAAAAAAATAAACAAGCAAATGATGCAAGCCAAAAACAACTTCCACAGTCAAACTGAAATCCCCTTAATGTTACTGCATGCAAATCACAGTATAAGCCACTGTATCTATACTGTAAATAGAGTAATAATAGGTAATTCTCTAAAATTCCTCCAGTATCCAATGAAAACCTGACTGCTGCTCCCTGCATCACAAGAGGCCACGATAACCCCCTGCAGTGTTCTAGGCTGGGGACAGAGTGGCTGGACAGTGCAAGGGAAATATAGATTGGACATCAGGAAAAAGTTTTTTACAGAAAGAGTGATAAAGTTCAGGAATAGCTGCCCGGGGAGGGGGTGGAGTCACCATCCCTGGATGTGTTTAAAAAAGACTGGATGTGGCACTCGGTGCCAAGGTCTAGTTGAGGTGTTAGAGCTGGATTTGATCTTGATCTTCAAAACTCTGTGTGAAATACCTGCCACTTATTCCTTTCCACCATATAGACCATATTTTCTATTTCTATTTTATGTCTACTTTCCTTTCCCGAAGAGCTTGAGTTTTCTAAAGAGCACTGGCAGCACCTTCCCTTTTTGCCTTTTAAAGTGAATAACTCATGTGTAAAAGTAACAATACATCACATTACTCAGCCAACCTATAAAAGCATTTTAAAAATTAAGTGCCATAAATAGGTATATTGTAGGAAGCTCACTTTAAACGATGTTATTTCAAATCCTTGTAATGCTCTGTGGCCTTTTGTCTGCGGTTTGTGTTTTAAAACAACTGTTCTCTCACAAAGGATGGAACAAACGTTTCTCTTGACACCTCCCTAATGCTGCAAAGCGATGACAGCCAACTCGATGTCCCACCAACAAAGGACACAAGTAAGTTAACTGATAAGAATATTGTGATGTCTAAGATTTCCAAAAGAATATATTTTAACATACAAATCTAAAGTGCAAAGGATAACAAAGGCTACAGAATAAATCTTTTTGTTTATGAATATCTTTCATATCTCCTGTGGAAAACCTAACCTCTGATGGAGCAGGCTGAAAAATTTAAAGGATCCTCAGGTAAATTCTGAATACACAAAGCACAGCTTGTAAGCATCTCCACAGACTAGCCCAGTCATATGTGCCATTGAGATGCACCCAAGTTAAATAAGTTAGACAAGACAACAAACAAATCAAAATACATCCCCCAGTAAGTTCCACAGTTTAACCAAGTGATGATGAAATACTATGTGCTTAAATTATTTCAACAGATTTATTTGAACAATTGGCTATTCTCAAAGTTTACATCTGATGATCAGGGAGGTCAATATTTAAAATATATCAGGAACGTTCTTCACTTGCCAAAGCTTCCTACAGGCCCTGGGTACATTGTTCTGCAGGCCCTGGGTACATTGTCCAGATTTCTCCTAACAAGCCCCAGTGCCCCCTACACATGAAAAGGACAAAGTTTTTCTGCCAAACAGAGCAGTAAGAAAAAGAGACACTTATTTTGTGTGTCTGTGATATAAACTTCCAAAAATAACTGATGATTCAGCAAGACCAGTGGACTGTCAATGCCTACCAAAGTGCTAATTCAACGTTAATTATTGCCAAACAGCACCTGTCAACAAGCCCCCATCAAAAGCCGAGCAAGTCTCCAAGAACATCAGAGCTTCTAGACAGACAAGCATAAAAACTATTGCCTTTTTAACAGTGACAACGTTGTTTGACATTTTCCATTTCCTACACAAACATGAAAACAAGCCACTAAATTAAAAAAACCCCAAACCACCAAATAGGGCAGAACACTGCAGCCTAAAAATGACGATATTCACAAAGCTAAACCTCAAAATCTTCATTCTAGTCTCTGCAATGCTGCTGTAAGAAAAAGAATTACTGTTATGTGCTGGCTTCCCAGTACTGACCAGCTGCTTTTGTAACACCTCACTGGTTGTAGAAGGTCCTGTTTTGCTGTGTGGCAACAACTACCCTATGGAATGACTCTGCTGTCTGCACTGCATTCACTCCAGGGTGGAAGCCAACCAGAACTCTCAAAACACAGAAAACACAGCACAAGACACAGCAGCGGTGATGAAACAGGATTCAAAGTCACATCCACTATATGTATTTGAATATTGCTGACAGAAAAGATTAGAGCAAAGCAGAAGTTACTGATACTTTACTACTGTCCATGAGGACCAGGACACGCCTCAAAGGTCTCAAACTACATTACAAAAAATTTATCTCTCTACTTAAAACAACAGCTGTGAAAATCTCAGTATAAAACTGATAGAGATTGTGCACAGGGCTCTGAGCTACCTGGTCTAGTGGAAGGTCCCCTGGTCTGTGGCAGAGGGTTGGAATGGGATGATCTTTAATGTACCTTCCAACCTAAACCATATATGATACATAAACATAATTGCTGGAGTTTTTATCAAAAGGTTTAGACAGAGTAGTAGCTAGGAATAACACAGGATATTGTGTGACCTGCCAGAAATGCTCCAATGCACTCACAGTACTAAATGCATGTACTGCCAGGTGCTTCCCCTTGTTGGTTTGGTTCCAAATGTGGTATTTAACAGGGTCACAAACTTGCAGTTGTCACATTCACCGTACTCTTCTCCAACTAAAGATTTAAACTGAATTCAGGCTGATTAATAGCATTTCACATGCTCAGGTAAGAACAGAGATTATACACAGGGAAATCACGCACAATAAAAATAACAAAAGCCCCAAAACAGTTGAGAATTTTAAATCTCAGAACTTGATGCAAATAGAATTTTTTGAAAACCTAACAATGGGAAATCTCAAAAGACATTAGAGAAAACTCTTTTTTGAGTAACCAAGCTTGAGTAAGCTGTAACTGTGTGCTCTGCCCTCGCTGGCAGACCTGCCCACGTGTTTGCTGTGCGTGTGCCTGAGCGGCTCCGTGTACTGCGAGGAGATCGACATCGAGGCCGTGCCCCCCCTGCCCAAGGAAACCGCTTACCTCTACGCTCGCTTCAACAAGATCAAAAGGATTGCAGCCTCAGACTTCGCTGACATTAGTAAGTGACACCTCAACTTCTGTTTTAGAATACAAAATGGAAAGGCACAATGGACGTGCATTTTGGACCCTGCCAACATCTTAATACTCCCAAACAATCAGGCAAAGAGCAGATTACTAAAAATAAAATTCAGCTCTGCATCCCAGACAGTCTTAAATGAGCAGGCGTTATTTTTCCTTCAAATGCTCCAGGGAAAGCTCTGCCAGCTATCTCACTCCACAGCATGACGAATTCTATGAATATCTGAAATCTTGTTATCTCTAAGACAAAAAGAAGTACCCAGAGTACTTACCTTTTAATTTTTTCAATTTAAGACCAGGAAAAAAAATCAAAATGTCATTTTTAATAGTATTTGCATTTGTAGATCACAATTTAGATGCTGCAGCCAACAGTATAACATTTAGCATATACAGCCATACACATTTCACAAGCCATTTAATTATAAAGTCAATACTTTGATTTTAATTTCTTTTGTGTAAAGCGACCTTGAGAAGAATTGATTTTAGTGGAAATAGGATAGAAGAAATAGAAGATGGAGCCTTTTCAAAGCTTCTGCTGTTGGAAGAACTTTCTCTTGCTGAAAATCGACTTGTAAAACTTCCTGTTCTACCTCCCAAACTGACAACATTTAATGCAAACCAAAACAGAATCAAGAGTAGAGGAATCAAAGCAAATGCTTTCAAGGTAAGCAAAAATTCAATAATCTAGATAATCAAAGTAACCAAAACTAATAACCAGACTATTTAGACATTCAGACTATGCCACCAAATTATTTTTCTGTATTTTTTGTAATCTAAGAAACAAACTACAATGAAGCAGCTTTCCAGCTTTTGCTTTGCTTTTAAGGCACTCTGGAATATTAGTATTTGTGCACTCACTATCTCATGTCCTCCACATAGAAAAGAATTTTCTATGAAATATCTCAGCTGCTTGCTTTCTCTCTAACATGTAAAGAAAAAATATTCAGAAATTAATGGCTCAATTAGAGTTCTAAAGACTACAGAAATACTAATAAACAATGTACATATAGTACTTTATAGTGGTCTCAACTTTGATAACCAACATGCTGACACAGAAATTTCCCAAACATAGAAGGTCTGTTCTATGAATTTCTTGATATAATAGAATTCAACATTCACAGCAAAAGAATGGCTTTTGATACATCAGTTTACAGGCTACATGATCAGAAAAAAATTACTGATGTCTTGTAACACGCATAAGTTACTTAACCTCAAGTAATACCAGCATCAGTAACCTCTCTTTCTGTTTAACAGAAGCTCACAAATTTGGCCTACCTCTACTTAGGACACAACGCACTGGAATCTGTCCCCCTGAACTTACCGGAGAGTCTGCGCATTCTTCACCTTCAGGTATTCCCAAAGGATTCCCTTAGCATTCTCTTAGGAAACACCCCAGGAGTCACACACTTCAATCAAACTCATTCTAGTTTAAAACAGTTCCCACTACAGTTTTCTACTGCACCTCTGCATAAAACAATTGACCATACCAATGTGTATGGCCACGACCATCCAGAAGCTCAGAAGATGCTAGTTCCCATGAAAGGATTTATTATTGGTTTCTGTACATCAGGGATAGGAAATGGCAAAAAGAAGCTCTAATCTTTTATCAACAATGCATGTATGCATTTATTTATGAAAATGTTTTGGTTTGCAGTACAACAACATCACCACCATCACGGATGACACGTTCTGCAAGTCCAACAACACGCGCTACATCCGCACGCGGATGGACGAGATCAGGATGGAGGGCAACCCCATCGTCCTGGCCAAGCACGTCAACGCCTTCTCCTGCCTGAGGATGCTGCCCGTGGGAACCTACTACTAGCACGTGCCACCCCACATGCCACACCCTGGCATGCTAACAAGGATCACGGCTTCCTTTGTTTACAAGTTCATATCCTCTCCCTTACTAATGCTCTTTTCCCTGCACACCCAGGACCTTCTGCTATGTTGCACCGTTCTCCTCTGAAATAACCATTTCAAACCAGTCACTTTCGTAGCTGTGATGTCCCTCATGCTTTCAGAATCTTTTCTGTTAACAAAAGTGTAAAAATATATATACATTCATACACATTATCTCAACTTTTATTTCACCACATACTCTTTAGATAAAACCACACGAAACTGCTTATTCTCATTCTTTACCAGCACTCAGAACAACCACCAGATTTTACTTTCAGAAAAATGCAAGATTTTCTTTGAGCAAACCAAAGAGGAAAAATAATTCTGAATTCTAATCCCACTCTTTTAATCTGGAGTGAAATCTTTTCAGTTGACCTTCAAAAGTGTATTGGATGAAGATGCAGATGAGAGAAAGTTATGTTTAGAGACAGAACTTCTCAAAGCTTAAAGTCATTAACATTTCCTTAAAAACTTGATTTGTGGTAAATGAGAAAAACTCCTGTTTAGGTTTAGTACACCGAGCAACATAGCAACTGGAGCTTTGTAAAGATGTTTTAGCTTTCCTTCTACTATTCTGCTTTGAAAATACGTGTTTTATTTTTACACAATATATTTTTAAGTGAAATATATATGTTTTGCTGCATTGTTCTCACAAGAGCTGTTTTTGCAACACCAGCTTCCTATTTTAAAACAATGCTCTACATACAGCATAACAGACTCAAATACCTTTGTTACTAACTAATGATGTAGACCAAACCTTGGTTCCACAGCTTCTCCTGACAGGAAATGTGATAATATAGTTAAAAGCAAAGCTGAATTCATGTGTTTACCTGTAAATAAGAATGATTTCATCTAGATGTCAGAGCAAAGAAATAGAACTACCCTTCTGCAGCAATACTTCTGATTATTAGGGAAAAATCAAATCAGACTTGGAAGTTACAAAGAAAAGTTGATTCCATCATTAATCTGAAATCAGAGGTAACTTCAACCATTTCACTCAATGACTTGAACCTAGGCAGTGTATTAAAAACAAATTGACAGGTGCAGGCCCTGACACTCAATTCATCTAAAAGTGGCCATCACTGATAAAGGGCACAATGTTTTTAATTCCACAACTGTACATTTCTGACATCCAGTTTCTCCTTTCCAATAACTACCACAGGTGTAAAGCCTCCAGACAATTGAATGCCAAAGGCGTGCTAGTTACTATTACCACATCCACTTTGTACTAATTTTGAAGCTAGTGTAGATTCCTAATTAGTAGAAATAGTTAAGCATCAAATGCATGATGATGTATCACTACATCTAAAATATTGATTTTACAAGATATTTTGTATTAGTTTTATTTATCTTATTTAGCTAAGCCTTGATTTGTTAGTGCTTGTGTTATGGGGAATTGATACCCTCTTAATTCTGAACACATTTTTTGCCCTGAACCCATTACCCATAAAAAACAGCAACCCCCAATGGTTCCCATTTTGAGTTATTTAGTGTAAAAGAAGGAAATTCCATTGTCTTAACTAAGAACAAAACCAAGTCCAGCAGCAATACTTGGTTTTCATTTTCCACATAAATCATAAAACTTTGATGTTCCCAGCTTTTTAGCAAAATGTAAAAAACAACTTGAAAGCATGTAAAAATACATTCCAATGTCAAGCCAAATTTCTATTTGGAAAAAAATTAAACCCATCAATTCTCTTACATCTCTTGTGATAAATGCCTAAGATGGAAAAAACACAGCTGTAAGTGTAATAATGTTATATAAGCAGCAGCCTCTGATCTTATTCTCATCACAAATCATTGCTACTAAAACTCTTTTCAGTAAATCACCATAAATAAAAAACCCAGTAAACATCACCAAAAACATGTATACACAAATAAATGCATATTTTTGTAGTATATACACACATGTAAACATACTACCTACCACCACACAATTAATTTTACATTAAAATGTTGTATACAATTTTGAAACGTACTAATTATCATCAGTAACACTAATTAATGCTATTAACACTTTGTGAGCAAACCAAAGTAGACAAGTGGTACCTTCTGAATGTCTCATGCAGGCACCAAGTTCTCTGATGTGTTTTACTTCATTTTCCCCATTCACAGCAAGTTAATCAAAACATGAAGTGAGAAAAGCTTCAGTAGGGAGGATTTCCACCTCCTATTTCTGTGACCAGTACTAATATCAAGCTGAATGTAAACCATTTTATTTTTTCCTATCACTGATTTCTGTTCTGAATTTCCAATAAAACTTGAATTTTTGTTCTTGTTTATCAGTATCAGCTTCAACAACCTGCTCTTCCAGCCTTGCCAAGATGTTTCAGTTGTTCAGCCTCACAGCACACTAAGACTAGGCTATCTGCAGATGTAAATCCATTTTAGACATATTTATTGTGACAATAGCAAGACCTGCCATACAGAATACTTCGTAAACACTCCACTTGGTCCTTCAAAACCTATGTTGAATTGACCTTGAATTGCCATTAATCTCAAAACATCCAATATTACTTGACGTACTCATCCACTTCTACATTATTCCTTTCTTCTCAAGTACCAAAACAGGAAAGAAAAAATAAACTACCTTTGGTGTTTTTACACTACACTCCGAGGAAAGTATCAGAAATTATTTTTACATAGAAGCCTTGGCAATTTTCTTTTTAAAAAACCCCATGCTAATAGAAAAGCTATAAACCCAAGACTCCCCCCCCAACAGTTTTCTCTCCAAAACAGGGGAGTCTAGAGAGCAGGTAGGGGGAAAAAATAAATACAAATATTACAGACTCATTTTTAATTTTGTGTAAGTGTGAATATTAACAGGATAGACTCTTGAGTTGGTTTTATGCATATATTAACAATATATGTCTAATTGCTTTTCCACAAATTACTAAAACATTAAATTACAAATATACATTCTCCTTGGCAATCTAGTTATTTGAATTGTCAGATTTGATCTTTGATCCTTTTATTAATTCTTTTACCTGAGAAAGTCTTCTGTTTTGAAATTAAATCATTAGCAATGCTAAGAAAAATAACCATATGCACACAGTCAGTCTTATTTGGTAAATACTCTCCCAAACTGGTTTGTCTTTCAACATTATCTTTAACCATGGAAATAAAACTACCTTTAGAAAGAACATCTGTAATACTGAGAAACTTGTAATGAATTATCTTTACACATCTTTTAGCAGTTAGCAGACAGTTTCATTGTTTATGCTCAACATCTGAACAAATACTTTTAAAAACTGCTTATATAACAGCAATTTGAAAATTGTCTCCAAAACTCTTTCCCATTTTTTTCCTTTTTATTATATTTTAAAATGAGAAATATTTACAACAGTTCACCAAATCACTGTCCCAGAAACCACAGTCACTACTGATCTAAGGATCAGAAAGCATGAAGGGAAGCTGGAAAAAACAACTGGAGATCCCTAAAGCTTTTGGTGCTCTACCTTTTCTATGGAGGGATTAGAGAAAAGCCCTTAGACAAAAGCCAGCGGGATTAGGCAATGCCAGTTCATTGCTCAGCTGAGGACTGGAGTTTTTTTTAGTGCTATCAGGAAATAGAACTCTTTTTTCCATTCTGGTTGATTGGATAATAGAAATTGATTAATTTGGCACAGAACTCAAAGGCCTAAAAGACTGAAAAAATAGGAAATTATGCACTTCCCACTTGATACTACATCTGAAAAGTAAAGATGGTGTCGAGTTTAACGACAGTAAATTCTTGACGCATGTAAAACTCAGCCAAGAAACCACAAACAATTAAGCAGCTAAACATCCTTCTCTAACATAAAGCATCATGTAAGATGTTTTGTGTCTGTATGACTGTAGTATTCTTACTCCAAGGAATTAGTTGTTTATCTTAAAACCAGCACAAAGCCAAAACAAACAAGCCAAATACCGGTAATTTAAAACTAAGCTCAAATACTATGTTCCAGTTAGGAGGGAGGAACAGTTTATTTCCCACACAAGTAAAACACTCCAGAACTGAAAGTGCTGTCATCCAAACATACGCTGACACATCTTCAAGAGAAACAGATCTAATCCTTCAAAACCAACATTTATATGCCAAAGACTACAAGTGCTATTTTCTTTTAATTTCTTCTTTTTTTAAAATAAAAATAAAATATAATTCCAAAGCAAACTATCTTACTCCTTCACAGAAAGGCACAGTCTTATTTTCCTCCACCCATGAGGACCACAGCAATTGCTGCTCAATTGCCCCTCGAACACAGCACAAATTTTAGCCCATATTGTCTTCACCACCACATACAAAAGTAAGATCCTGTATTATGCTAAAGACAGCCAGTTTCACTTCCAATGCTCTGTCTTACTAAACTCCTTAAAACAATAAATATTGTACTAATAAATAAAGGCGTGATAGACGCTACCTTGAAATGGTGGAAGGTGTGTCTACGATGTTCATGCCACTCAGCATAGGTTGAAATGCTTCTGAAAAATGTTAGAAGATCTCCATGTTCTTCAGTGCTACAAAACAAAAATATATTGTTTAACCCACTCATAATCAGATGAATCAATTAGATGGCCTAAAATTCACACTTCAAAAAAAATTCATTAGTATTGTTTGAATATGAAGTAGAAATCACTCAGAATAAGAATTACAAAGCTGAAAAAAAAGCTGTAGTGTAATGATTGAAAAAGAGGTTGAAGAACACATTCCTGAACCAGTGTTTCTAGTGTTTGTCTTATATGTAAAATGTGGGAACAAAGTAGTCACCTGCAAAATCTTAGTTTGATTTTATTCTTTTTCAACTTGTTTTCTAAATAAATTCTAAGATGTTGCATAGTAAAACCCAAACCTGCAAAATGGTAAGATTTCCCAAACTGCATCACTAACCTTCAAATATTGCCAAAATCTTTGTCCTAGCCAACTAACTCTACATTTCATGTTACCTGCCTCTGCCCACATGACATTCAGCTTTTCAAGATTAACCTTGCAGCTTCACTAGGAAAGGAGGCCTGATGACACAGGGCATCTGAACCAAAACTTTTGTCAGACAGTTAAATCTTGATGTGATCTTGTCTCCAGAGCAGAGGGGCTTCAGCCCTCTGAACATGTTCCTCACTCTCCTCTGGACCTGCTCCAACAGGTCCATGTTCCTTCTTATGCTGGGGGGGAGTGGGAGGCAAAGATAGATATAAATGTTCACTTTTTGACTTTCTAGTGAGAATCAGGATGAAGAAAGGAAAAGAGACAATGTAAGGTGACAAACTTAGGCAGCAAATCGCACATGCAGGATTGTTGGGGAAAAGAGGAAAAAAAAAACCTCAACGGGTGTGCAGTTTTCACTAAACAAATGCAGCCAGAATGCAAAGGATGCAGAACTCCACAAAAACCACATCAGAATATCTGAAGTAACATGATTACTTAAACATAAGGGTGAAAGGCTTTGTCATTGTTGATATGAAGTCACAGACTATTAGCCATCATCAACACACACCTGGCAAGCACTGTTTTGGAAGTACAAATATTTATTTTGGCTACTAATATAGGATTTTACAAATTTACAAAACCTGACTGAGGAAGACACCTGACTGATGTTTGAGAACATTTCAGGAAGTTAGAGTATTTAAATTCTAATGTAAATTTTACTTCTAACATCCATTCTGAGATTAGCTATTCTTTTTGGATTTTCAGAACAGCGGAGAGTAGAACTTGAGGCATTCACAGAATGGCTGCAACAGTGGATTACCAAGTCAGTTCAGCCTTCCCAGGGAGAACTGTGCTTTCAATCCTGCTCTATTTAATATACAGAACAGCAAACCTTAACCAGTTATACAAAGAAACTGGAAAAAATACGTTAAGGTCACTCAGATATTGAAAATGTGAAAGAAAAGCCAAACAAGTTTTATCCCAGCCTGGAAAGAACAGCATCATTAAAGGAAGTTACCACAGTAGTCACAGCTGCCAACAAAATCAGGCCAAGATGAAAAAAATGCTGGCAGCACTGGGAATAGTGAGTCCCTGGAAGGACACAGACACTCATTTACAATAGCTCATTAGCTCTGGTCTGGGAGCTGTTTTTAACAACAAATCTGAATTGTACATGTCAAAGTCTACACATTCAATAGGAACTGTGGACCCATGGTAACAACTGCCCACATCCATGCCTGGAGAACAGATTCCACACAAACTGCACTGGGCTTTTTCAATCTCCACTCGTGGAACAGGACAACACAAAGCTTTGTTACCAAACTACACACTTGAAATTCTTTTTGAAGAACTTGGCAATTTTTATAAATATCCATGTTTATGCTATTTAAAATACTATCACAGACACTGTGACCTTGTTTGAGCATGGTTTTTAGTTTATTTCTTTTTTTGTCTCAAAATTGTTTTTAGGTGATGCAGCAGATAAAAAATTTCAAGGATAGATCATCAACAGAAAGAAAAAGTTTTGGGTAGAAGCTCAAAGAAGCAGTTTCAAATGTAGAAGTTAGTCAATCAATAGATCTGAGGATGTACTTTTCTCACATAGCACTGGCTAAATTCAAGATAGAAAACTGAACTCAGTGTTTAGAAAGGGGGAATATGTTGGCAAAAACAGCTGTATGTAAATCCATATTGGCAAAAAAGTAAGAGACAGCATAAGAGCACCAGTTCAGTGAACTCTCACAGCATCAAATCTACCCATAAACACTAATTCCTAATTAGCCCAAATTAGCCTAGTTCCTCCTGCTGAAGTCAACTACACCAAAAGCTAAAATACCAAGGAAACATGGTATAAAATAACAAGGTAGTAAGAGAGTGGATGATAAAATTAAAGTATTTTTTTTTATTTTGAAAGAATTTAGCATTACAAAAATCCACTTGGAGCAGAAAATACCTGTCTCCAATGCCAGCATCCATGTTACAGAGAAGTCATCCAAAACCAGCTAAAAGGCTATTCAGGCAGAGGGTAACTCTGTCACATTAAAATCATGGGCTCTTCATCCAAACACCCTTTCACAAAATATCAACAAAACACAGAAGCATATAGGAAATTTAACTGTTGTAAGAGTACCTAAGCCTCCTTTAACCTGTTCCTTTATGTATTTTAAGGGAGAAAATCTATTTTAACTCACTGCAGAATGCAAGACTTCCTACATCAGCATAGAAAACCAAAGCATGACTCAAAGCTGGGGGGAGAATTCCTGCTTCCCTTCATTTCCAAGGGACTTTTTGCCCATGCAGCATTTAAAATAAGGCATATTTCCTAAATCCTGCACTCTGACTTATGGATTCCATCTAGTTAATAAAAAGTAAGAGCAATTT